GAAATATGAGATTTATTCTGTAATATTATTATTATCCTGATGATAATGATTATTAATATTCTTAATTAATATTCTATTTATTATTATTATCATGGTTCTGACTGAATATCATCATCTTAGTAGTATTCATGCCCTCTCCTCTCCTCTTCATTTGCTTTGTGCGTTTTTCCCGGGTAGATTAGAGACATAGAGACCCTCCCCCTCCTTTTTCTACCCTCGCTCTGCTCTGGCGTCCTCTCTCCTGCTATAGAAACCTGCCGTTTCACTGCGTCTCCTCCTGGATCACACAGACTCCAACATCAGCTAAACACGGCTGATGAAGACGTCCTCCGAGTGAACCTGCTCACGTTGTTTGTGCCACTAAATATTTTCTGCCAAACAACGAAAAAGAAAAGAGAAGAAGCTGCAGGCGTCCTCTGGTGTTCCTTTTTTACCTTTCTGCAGATTCAACCCTCTCAAACATCTGGAGACATCTCAGCGAAGCCATGAAATCGTCCTCGGTGGGTCAGCGGCTCGTCTTTGGGGCGCCGAGCGATTTCTCCGCTCCGATATAAACGCGATAAAGACGTCTCTGATCGCGGTCGTATCAAGGCTGCGCCACGCTGGCGGTTCAGTCCAACCCTGCGTTCAAGTGGTGTTCGACCAGAGTGTGACGTTCATGTTAAGGAAGCTCCAGAACCTCTGGGCTCACCTGGAGTGACGGGCGCGATTACATGATTAATCCACATTTGCGTCTGGAGCTCTGGGATTCGTCCTTTCACTCGCTCTGATCAGGCTGTCCAATCGGGAGTCTTGATTCAGATTTTTACCCACGACTGCACGTGCAGGAACCGACCGATTTGGCGAGTTCGGAGAACTGATGCGATTCCCGGTTTTCCCATCTGCTTGCATCACTTGAAGGCAGGGTGTCACATTCAGGTGCTTGTAACTACACCACGTGTATTTTTGCCATGACGGTGTTAAGGTGCTCGTTATGGTCGGTTCGAGGCTGTAAATCAAAACGTCATCTGACCGCCGTTCTCTCCGCGTACTGTATGAGCGTGCAGAAACCCTCCTTTGATAGTTCGCCCACTACAAACGCAGAAGCATCCGAGCTGCTGGCCGTAGATCCTGCTGATAAATGTTTACCGGTTACCAACAACCAGAAGCGTCCTGTGAGATCTGAGAGCCCCAACGCAAACCGCCCACTTCCTCTCATCCTTCCTGTTGAACCGGTTTTCCTGCAGCGCGGTGTGATGTGTAATCTAGAACCAGCTCGTATTTACCCAAGTTTCCCAAAGTCCATGTTGGTGGTAAAATGGGAACACGGTTCTTCCTGCTTTGACTCGTTTTCCACCGATGTGGTACCGGGGTGCTACTTCATCAGATGTTAACCAATAAAAAGTGCCACAAAACCACTGGCACCTCAAAATCAGCGGTCCCAAAGCGCCCATTTCCGTTTCTGATGCTTGGCGTTCCGGCCTGTGAGACCGAGTCTGGTTTGCTGCATCCACACCAACAGCTCTGCTCTGAAATCAGGTGGATAACTCATCCTGTTACGACCTTTTTCCAACAACTCAGTGCCGCCGCCTCACCCAGACCCCGGGCCTTTCTGGGTTGTCCCGTGGTTGGATTCGTAGATCAATGGTGGGAGTGGGAACTGCACGAAGTTTCTCTTCTTATTACAGACGTTACCCGGCTTGTGCTGCCTGATGTTCTGGCACTGCGTTTGTGGGAAAAAGGATCCGATTCTTCCTGTTGGGACTTCTTTTCCACTGGTGTGGTGCTGCTGCTAAATCTAGAAGCAGGTTATTGACTTTGCACTGAAAGTTTCCCAAACATTGTAGCCCACAGTTGGACTCAGAGGTTACCACTGATTGGCCGAGGCAGCTCACAGCGGTGCTTGGTTCTCAGCCTGTTCTGGGAGAGAACCCAGGCAGAACCAGCTCTGTAACTTCTTCCTGTGAGGCGCTTCACCTCCACTCTCAAAACCAACCAAGAGCCGGCACCACGTCAGTGGAAAACCTGAGTTAAATATGATCAACCAAACCCACAGGTCAAAGGTCAGGCGCTGCATTCAGGTCATACTGGAGTAACTGCTCTGTCTGATTTTAACGGTACCGACACGGCGTCCTGAATGCAGCGTGGCTCGTTGTCCTGAGTTCCCCCCCTTCTTGTCACACCTGCATGCCCATAAAAAAGGGGCGTGTCTTTCTCTTTGGGCAGGTGTGATTCCAGGCGTGAGAGCGTGGTGCAGCACCTGGGCGGGGCTTCTGATCTGACTAAACGTGACGCTGATGCTCTGGTGCCAACACTATCTTTAAGTCCTCTGGCTTGGTTTCCAGAAACTTCCCAGTTACCTCAAATGCACCGTATATATACAGCATATATGAGTGGCTCGTGCTGCGTCCGTGTCACATGGGAATGGCGTGATGATGTTTGGCTGTTCGTTCAAAGAAATTCCTAAAATAGTAAATAATGCTTGCCGTTCGGCAGCTCGTGTTTACGGCAGCTCACTTACGACACAAACGCAGCATCAGCGCGCGTCCTGCCGCCTGCCCAAGGAGGACCAATCAAACCCAGATAGATCCATCAGAGCGAGCAGAAGCAGGTTGTTGAGAAACTGCCTTTGTACCGAGTGATTCGTAACACTGGGCTGAACTCAGTGTCACACTGCACACACTATAAACTATGACCAGCACTTGTAATGAAGCAATGACACAGCATTCTACTACTACTGTATAAATATGATGAAGAGGATGTTTTTCTGTAATATTATTGAACCTGAAGATGAATTAATAAAAATAATCCTGATTATTCTGTAACTGCTGTTTGGCTCGCTCGCTTCATTCATAACAGCACTCGTCTGAGAGCGCGTCACGCTGTCAGGGATGGTAAACGTCACATCCTGTCAGTGTGAAGAGCTTTAACTGCACATTTAATCCCTCAAATAATTTAATCTGAGAGAAAAGCGCTGTTTTTCTATATGATAACGCAATGCTGATGTAGGAAATGAAAGACCTCTGTCAGGTGTAGACTTAAAGAAACAGCTCTGGTCGCTCATTTTCCAGATTCTCAGTAATTATAAATAAAGTTTTGCAATAAATTATGAAGAAATGTGAACTTTTCAGATAAACCATTATTAGTCCCACATGTATGAATTTTTTTTTCAGAACATTATAAATGTTATTATGATGAAATATTTAAAAATAAGAATTTTTCTTAGATTCTTTTCCCATAATATTACCTTTTTATAAATAATGAGTACTTCAGCCTTCCATACTGCATGTTTAAAGGCAGGTAGGAACCATCCAGCAGGAACCTTTTGTTGCTGCGCTCGTTGTTCTTCTCACCTGAACATTCGTCACATTTTTCTCTCAAATATAAATTTTTATTCGTGTTTTGAGTTTAATAAAATTATTGATTTTAATAACTGAATATTAAGCTTAGTTTTAGCCTCATGTTGAACGTGTTTATTTTTTTTTAAATTTACATTAAAATCGCAAAAATATCGGAGAGAATCTGCTGCTCTGTGCGCATGCGTCCTTCAGTCCGTCACTCGGAGGATCCCCTCAGGCAGCTCGGAGCTCAGGTGGAATAAAAACTGTCCTCCTGCTGTTGTAAAGGGAAACTGAGCGCTGCTGCTCGGGAGGCTGAAGAAGAACATCTCCAGGAGAACAGAGGGATCCTCATCAGAGGGCGGGAACACGGCGCTAACCGGGCTAGCCGTTAGCAGCAGCAGTCCGTTTAAACGTGCTGTTTTATCAGGTAGGTTTGTTCATCATGTCACTAAATCCCGGGTAACCTCTGCTATCTGAAGCGTTACTAAACCAGCCAACCTAAGCTGAACGGTACACCTGTAAGGTCACATTGAAAGAATAACACGTGAGCGCCGGAGGAGGTTTAAAAGAGGCGGACCGCGAAGAGAGTTTAAAATGGAGGATTTATGAATGGAGTCTGGTGTGTTAGCATTACTGCTAATTGTCGCCCTGTTTCCCCTCCCACAGAGTCCGAATCATGGCGGTCCAGGTGTCCGAGTCCGACCAGATCAAACAGGTAAGTGACCCCAAGAGTTTTCATGTCGACTCTGAGAAAAGAGGCTCAGAATTCAGAGGCACAAAGTCCGGTTACTGTGGCCTCCAGGGTCCATAGAAAGCCCGCACTGAACTATACAGCAAGGAGGCCTGTGAGGGACAAAACAGGAGAGGGCGACAGAACCGTAGGTAAAAATAAATAGATAAAAATAGAATCAATCAAAACAAACTCAAATACCGTCAATGCCAGAACACTGTGGCAGCTTATTGGGACCAATACTGGAGTGAGAATGTGTGGAAATATATCTATAGATATAGATATATATCTATGTGCAACAAAAAGTGCACATGTAAAACTGCGGTGTTAAGCGATGCGGTTGAAAAATTTGAGTGCGCCTAAGAAAAACATTTAGGCGCACCAGTGCAACCGTGGCAAAAAGTTAGTCTAGAGCTCTGCATATTATATATTTTAATTTGAAATAAAAAGATTAGTATAAAGCAAGAAAATTAACCGAATCACAATTTAGATATTGAAAAAGTAAGAAAAGCATTTTAGGTCAAAAGATAAAGTTTAAGTTTAAAGTTTAACTTCGTACAAAATCAAGTGATACAGGAAATGGTTTAAAAAGTAAATAAACGTAAAAACAGCAGAGTCTGAGGAAAGCTTGACAAACATCTGAGTATCTAAACAATTAAAAACGACTGAAAAAAACCAAAAGGAATTTATCTGAAAGTTTTTTATTATGACTTCATAATCCCAAAAGTCACCCCGTCGGTTGACCTGGACGTTTTCAGCGGAAGACACATTTGAATTTATACATTTATGAGAAAAGTTCTTTAAACTAAAAGTCACAGCTTTGATCCAGTGGCATCGCTCTGATCGTTTAAACCTGCAGCAGGAAGCCTCTGTCACACACGCAGATCTGAGTTAATACATTTGAGCTCCCACCTTGGCTCTTTAGAGCAGCTTCACAGTCTTGGAGCACTTGAAGAAAACCAAAACTGTTGACTGCATCAGTAAAACTGAGCGTGCCTGAAGCAGCGAGAGGACGGAGGTTAAAACCCGTTTGGGGAAATTTCTCTTAGACCTGAACCTCGGATCCTTCTCGGTCGTCTCTCAGATTTTTTTGCTGAATTGCTGCTCTGCAGCCGTTTTCTGAGCCGTGTCTGTTTCCTGTTTCAGTTTAAGGAGTTTCTGGGGACGTACAACAAGGTGACGGAGAACTGCTTCATGGACTGCGTCCGAGACTTCACCACGAGAGACGTGAAGCCCGAGGAGGTAAAAAAAGATGATTGGATGACGGAAAC